CTGTGAGTAACACCACATCCCACGTGGCAGGCCAGCTGTCCCTCTGAAATGCTGACTTCAACATGTTCGGGAAAATACCAGCCTTGAAAGGGTTGTTGAAGGGTAAGGTCTTTTTTTTTTTTTTTTTTTTTTTTTTTGAGGATTTTGTCTACCATTTTCTATAATCGTTGTTAACAAATTGCATTCTCACCAGGGGCTCATTTTTTTTCCACTTCCTTGCCAATACTTACTTTCCATCTTTTTGATAACAAACTTTTTCTTTTTCTTTTCTTTTTTTTTTTTTTGGTAGCGGGGATTGAACCCAGGGACACTTAACCACTGAGCCATGTCTCCAGCCCTTTTTATATTTATTTACAGACAAGCTCTCACTGAGTTGCCGAGGCTTGCTTCAAACTCGCCATCCTCGTCTCAGCCTCCCATTGATAACAACTGTTTTAACAGGTCGGGGTGATGCCTCATGGTGGTCTAATCTGCATGTGCCCAGTGATCAGTCCTGTTGGGCGTGTCTCCATGTCATGGCCAGAGTGCAGTAAATCACCAAGCCAACCGTAAAGCAGGAGGCCGAAACTTGCTTCACCATGTTTGTCCTTCCCAGTGAACCCACCCTGATTTGTCTGCGTTGATTCTGTTCCCTGTGGCTTAATAGTTCCTTCCTAGTTCACTGCCTGCCGCTCTTGGGGAGCAGCTAGGGTTTTCTCTGAATGCAGTCATGTGCTCAATGAGACCCTTTCACCTCCTCCTGTCTTGTTTGGGCCCTCTGAGGTCCCTTTCTGTGCCATTGCTCTGCTCCAGTGCCCTGCCGGTGGGCGGTTTGGGGCTGTTGACCTGGGCGCTTTCTCTACTCACACTTGGTTCTGTGCTGGCTGCAGGATCTCATGCTTACTGAGGCATGTTTCTTCTGCACCTCTTCTGGACCTCTGGTTCAATTTCTTCAGGAAAGTTGAATTTTGCCCAAGCCTCATCTTATTCACTGAGACAATTACACATTTTTTACCTGAACGTCGTTTACTGATCTGCTCATAATGACCCACCAGCATCCTGGGGATTACAGGCTACTTGACCGCAGTGAATGACCCTTTTGATGTGGGGTTGAGCTTGGGTTGCTAGGATTTTGCTAAGGATATTGCATGTATGCTCATGAGGGGAATCGGCCTGGTGTTCTTTTATGGATGAATCTCACAAACACAATACTGAGCAACCGAAACCAGGCAAAAAAAAAAATGCCATCAGCAATATAATTTAGCTCTTGTACACATCAAGATAGACTGTGCCCGCAGTTGAGTGATGTGTCTTCCAGGACTGTGAATGAAAAGCATTTGCTTTGTGTGATTTGGCTCTGGTTATCCATAGTCTTCCCTTTGTTGGAAGAACTGTAACTTCGCTCAGTACTAATAAAACAGAGGAGGACAGCCAGGGGGCTGGGACGAGGAAACGCCCTGGGGCAGCAGACCTGACCCATGCCAGCCCCACAGCCAGCTAGGCACTGCTGCCTCTCATCTGCCCACCCCAGGAGAGTCCAGGAGGGATGGCTAGCAGCTGAGCCTGTGGCCTGCCCTGGGGACACAGGCAAGAAAAAATAGTGGAGCCAAATGCTTTTGCAATTAACTCTAATAAGATTCCTCATGGTGATTTCTAGTGGAAAGACATCTGAAGGTCTTATTTATGGAATGTGCATAGGCTACTATGCCTAGTTCTCCAGGTTGCTTATGTAACAAATTTAGAATCAGCAGATACACAACATGGCCTGCTGAAAGAGTTCAAGGACAACTGAGTGCTGTAACAGCCAAACCGTGGAGAGTTCTCCTCATTCACACATAAATCATCCTGTGCAATGCAATGACCTGCGTGGGATCGGGAGGCCTCACAGTTGCATCTGGCTCAGGGTGCCTGTGGATGTGGTAAATACAGCTTTGGGAGCTGCACAGATAGCCTCAAGCTTCATGCTTTGCCAGTGTCTTGCAGTCCTCTGCAGGCTTTGAACTACTAGTAAAATGACACTGGTTAAATCTTCAGTTCTCAGGAGCCCAATTTACCACCTCAATGGGAAAGGAGGAATTTGCATTCCCCAGAAGTTTTGAAGGATGCAAAGGCACTATATCATGAAAACCAGGCTAATGACACTGGGCGGCATCTCCCTTTTGCTTCTTCTTTTCTTTGTTTACCGAGTGGCATCTTGGTGCCTGTTTATCTCCCAGTCTCTGCTGGGCTCTAAGGAGTCCCTGGTGTCTGGCCAGGCTGCTCCCTCCACCACAGGAACCACTTTCTACATACCCGTGCATTTCATATTTTTTCCTTTTTCTTCAAGAATGTGTGAGATGAGCAGAAGCACATTTAGAGAGCGCTCCCTGTGAGTGGTGGAACCCCAGGTCCTCCGAGCCTCCTTCCTGGATTTGCTGAAGTCCACCCGCAGCCAAGTGGAAGTTGCAAAGTACTTTTGAAAGGAAGATGTGCATTTCCCCTGTGGAATACCTTTACCATTTTAGCTGACTCTTGGATGTTTAGAAAAGAAAACCCTCAAAAAATTACTCTGAGGTCCCTATTTTGGTTCAGGGAAGCTACTAAACAGTCTGCACTTTCCTTTGACTCTGCAATGGGCCATTCAAGGGCTCAAGGTGATGGAGAGAAGAGCATGCCATCTAAAGACGGCACAGTGTCGGGGACGAGGGTGAGGATGGTGCTTGTACCTGCTGACAGATCCACCTTCATGAAGATGTCACTCAGGGCAGGGCTGGCTTGAGTGACATCTGAAAAGCTGACACACATAATCTCCATTTTCAGAAGGGTCCCCTTTCTAAACCCATCATCTCAAATGATTTTCCACACCTAAAACCCTAGCAAAGCATTAAGTGAACTTCTGGACAGGTGACCTTTTAGGTATACAGATAGGAAGCCAGTCCCGTGTTCATTAGGTAGAGCTGAAGCTATAAGCCACCTCCCCGTACATTATTTATTTACTTACTGATTTGCCTTCATGAATCTACATTCTTTATCCATATTGTAAGCTAGATAACTATGTTAGAAGAGCTGAAGTTTATTTGCCAACTTGGTTGGTTTTTAAAAAAAAAAAAAACATTTTTTTTTTCGAAGGGATTTAAACTCTTGCATCTGTATTTGTTTTTCCTTGGGAAGGTGTGAATTTCTACTAAGTTTTAAAAGTGGGATGTGTGTGTTCACTTGAGCACTTACAGAGGCACAAAAGCAGACATTTTGATTCTGGAGAAGGACAGGTGACACTCCCAAAGGTGAACTGGAATGTGCCACAGTCTGGCTGGGCACAAATCAGGAGCCACTCAAGCAGGAACAAACTTTATTTCCTAACTCCGGAGAACGCCACCCACGCGGCCTTCTCCGGGACACACCACACACCAACCGGAACTCCCTCCACCGGAACTTCACCAACCAACAGAACTCTCCAGGAATCCCCGCGAGAGCTCAACCGGAACTCAACGGGACGCTGGGAGAACTCAAAAGTACTGGCAAAATGCTAGGCGCCATCCCAACTCGGCTGTGGCTCTCAACAGGAGTGAGTGAGTCCCCAAGCACTAGGGATTGGAGCCATATCCTACTTAGAGTTTATTCAACGGAATAACCGCTGATGTAATCACTTTTGCATATTGCATATTGATTTGCTATTAGCAAGACAGGATGGAACAAAACTCAGAGGTTTGGAGCAAGGCTTCCCCTGATGAGGTCCTGTTACCTCCCAGGAGGACAGTCTTCCTCGGGAGTGGGCTGCACCCGGCACATCTGCAGAGGGCTCTGCCAGCCTCTGCCTGTTGGCAGGGAATGTGATTTGAGCAGAAGGTGATCTTCCTCTATGCCAGAAACAGTTGGGCACACATGTGACAAGGACACGGTGGACAGAATGGGGACATTGAGGTGTGTCGAGAGAGAGCAAAGTGAAGGAGTGTTCCCTAGACAGGGTAGCATTCCTGAGAGCGCTTCAAGAGGAGCCCTGCTCCCACCATCCATGGATCTGCACTGGAGCCCAGCCACGGTCCAGTCTAAACCTCGGATGCTGCCCCAGCAGGACTTATCCTCATCTGGATGGCTTGGAGTTTGATCACACCTCGCTACACTGAAATCAGGGACCTGGTCGTCCCCACCTGCTTCTCCAGAACGCACCATCCTCATCCTGACCACGGGTTTCTTGGGTCGCCCAGTGCTTGCAAAGGCAGAGTGTGAGGACACACACAAAGCACTGGATGCAGTTTCCAGTGTAAAGAGGCATCGGGGCGACCTGATGGCTGCTGCAGTGTCCACGTGGGACATGACTGCCTTGGCCCCTTGCTCTGGCACTTGGATTTACCTCTGGGTCGTAGTCACCGCTGAGAGCAGCTCACATGCAGAGTGTCTTCTGCAGCGCTGCCTTCACATCCCTGCTCCTGAGGCTGTAGATGAAAGGGTTCAACATGGGGGTGACAGTTGTATACATGACAGCGGATAGGGCATCTCCCTGAGGCGTGTGCGAGGAGGTGGGGCTGAAGTAGACCGTGATGGCTGTGCCGTAGAATAGCACAACCACCGACAGGTGGCAGCTGCAGGTGGAAAAGGCTCTCTGCCTCCCCTGAGTAGAGGTGACCTTCAGAATGGTGCAGAAGATGAGGCCATACGATGTGAGGATGCAGGCAAGGGGCATGAGAGCCAGCAGACTCCCCACCGTGAGAATGACCATGATGTTGAGGGACACGTCGGAGCAGGAGAGCTGCAGGAGAGGGTTGAGGTCACAGAAGAAATGGTGGATGACATTGGAGGCACAGAAGGACAGGCGTGCCATCAACATGGTGTGCAGGAGGGCATGAAGGCAGGTGACCACCCAGAGCCCTGCCACCAACCGCAGGCAGAGCTGAGGGCTCACTGTGGTGGCATAGTGCAAAGGGTGGCAAATGGCCACGTATCTATCATAGGCCATCACACAGAGAAGGAGGCTGTCCATGTTCACAAAAGAAATGAAGAAGAAGAGCTGGGCGAGGCAGCCTTCGCGGGAGATGGTCAGGGTGTCAGTCAGGAGGTTCACTACCATTTTAGGAACTGTTGTGGAAATAAAGCAAATGTCAACAAAGGCCAAATTACTAAGGAAGAAATACATGGGGGAATGGAGGCGGGGGTCACCGCCGATGGCCAGGATGATGAGCGCGTTTCCCAGCACGGTGACCAAGTACATACAGAGAAAGAGCAGGGCCAAGAGGTGCGGATGTGCTGAGGAGTCCGAGAGTCCCAGGAGGACAAATTCCCTGATGGCTGTTAGGTTTCCTCTTTCCATCTTCCCATCGAATCTAGAAGAAGAGAACATTTAATGGTGGAGCCCCACAGGGTCCTCATGACATGTCGGGGGGCTAAGTGCCACCCTAACCCTTGCTACTTCCGATGTTTGCCACCCATGTCTGTGTCTATGGCATCATGTCTGCATACACACAGAAACATCTTGCGACTCAGTCTCAACCGCTTTCAAGAAAGCATGGTTTCTTCCCCAATATTGGAAGTGAACTGTGACTAATGCCCATTTTTAATTGGACCCATTATTTTTATTTGCCCACAATAACCACATTGTCCATACCTACCTTATGAGAAAGTTGCTTATTTTGGCAGCCATGCTGGTTGCCCCGAGCAGATTTAGTTACTGTGGCTGAGCACTGTCCCTGCTCATCTGATGTATCCCAACCAGGATGGCAGATGCCCTGTGCCAGCTTCTTCACTTGGGTGAGAATAAATGTTGGTGATCCCAGGCCCCCACTCTGGCTTCTTTGCTCTCTGCTGATCATTGCACCGTGCCTCTGCCAGGTATGCAGGCTCCCCTGACATCCCATGTCCTTGCAGGGGCTTTAGGCCCTTCAGCCCAGCACAGCCCTGTGCCCTGCTCTCCCTAGGAGACGTGATAGTGCTCCTGCCCTATGAGAATCCTTCACCAAGTGTCTTGCAGCCTCACAGTCTCTCTACTCTCCAAATGCTTACTATAATATGATGTAATTAATACCCGCTTTTATTCTAAGTATTATCAAGGTATAAGTTTTTATAACTATTAGCAAACAAGTAATTATCCATCCATTCACATGACCAGTGTCTTCCTTCAATAAATATGTCCCAAACACCGCCTACGGTCCACGTTCTGGGCACAATTCATTTGACACTGAATATTATTTTTTCTGACTCGAGTTGAATTATTGATTAAGTTATGTGTTCCAGAACGTTCTTCCTGACATTGGGGGCTTTTAATTTTTTTTTCAAAACTTTATATTTTTAGTTTATATTGTTGTAAATCTAACTGGCTATTAAGGCCTTGAACAGGACGTGTGGCTATAAAATCACAGTGGCTGGTGGGGACTTGCCATTTTTAGTGTGGGTGTTATTATTTCTCACAGTGTCCCTGGATCACTGTTTGTTATTGATTTTACATTTGGGATCCTAATGAACTTCTCTATAAAACATGTCTGGTGTGTACATATTGGAGACCTTTTCTAAGTCTCAGGAGGTTCTCCCAAATTCAGAACTTTTATCTGCTCCTTATGTTTTATAGGAATATTCACTGTCATCCTCCAGATGTGTGATATAGGAAGAAGACCTCTCCTTTCAAATACACAACCACGGAACAGGGCCCACAGGCCTCCTCTGAAGGCCCATTCAGGAGGCCTCCTTCTTCCCACCGAGCTCCTGTGCCAGGCAGTGTAGCGAGCACCGCTAAAGCCCTGCCACTAACTGGAACATGCATTTGCTCTTTACCCAGCCTCCAGTCCCAGCTTGCCTAGAGCCTCCGACCTGCGCAGTTCCCTCCCTCTGATCCCTATAGCCTCTAACTAACTTCTCTCTACCTCTTCACCCAAGCGCAGGTGAGTCGGGATGAGGTCTGTGTTGGGCGGGGTCACTGCCCGCTGGGCAGGTGCCCACTCTGGAGTAAGGGGCTTTGCTGGCCTCCTCTGCTGCGGGACGATCTCTCCTGCCCTTTCCCCATCCTGTGATCAGACTGAAAGCCCCTTTCAGCATGGAAGCTCACCTTGTTTGCCTGCTTCCCTGTGGCCGGTGTCGTGCCGGAGGAAGAATCTGCACATAGTTGGCGACACACAGTGCTATCGAAACAGCGGAGGCCACATTCTGGAGCAGCACCTGACTGCACCAGCCTGCGGTTCTCGGAGAGAGCCCTACAGTGCCTCCCTCACGGCACCTCCGTGAGCTCCAGGGTGGCTTCCTCAACCTGGGCTTAGCCCACTCTTCCACGGGAACCTTGACGGTGCCATTACAAAAGTCTGAGTGTCATGATTCTGGGACTCACATACTCAGGGTGTCTCTGATAAGACAGAGAAGAGCTCGGAGTACGTATGTACCCTTCTTGTCGGGAGGGGATCCACCTTTACATTTTTATTCTCTCTGAAGGTCCGACCAAGAGAACGGAGGTGGACTTGCACATGGGTTCAGATCCTAAGAGGAGATCAACAAGGAGGAGAGGAACCGGAGGGACATGGGCGCACTCCTCTCTTCTGGGAATAGCAGTAATTTGTTTACCTGAGTGACTCAGAGGGACAGGCCATGATCAAGGCACACTTTGTCCCTTGAGCTCAGCACTGCAGAGGCCATGTGGAGTTCTAATTTCACCTCCTCACAGCTTTTCTCATGGTGATAGTTGTTTCTCTCTGTTTGGTAGAGAAGGCAAGCTGAGGGTCCAACAGAGCATGCCAGGAAAAGCTTTAAAATCTACGAAGTTTCTAAGATCAATTCTCTTTTTCTTCTACATAACATTAAAACAAAACGCTTTGTACAATTCAAACAACTACTAAATAATCTGGAAATTAATATTTGGGCCTGTGCGTGTCTGACTCCAAAGAGGGTTCTCTGTATTCCTGAGTCCCTTTGGCACAGGGCAGAGAGTGGTGACTGAATTTTATGGGGATGGATAATTAAGTTTGTGGGTTTTTGGTTTCAGTGTCTCATCTTTTCACTTATTACCTCAAGCTATATTTTTTAAAAGTAGCATTTTTATACACAAAAATGGTCTATCTGAAAAAATAAGTCAAGGAAACCATTCCATGAAAGGTAGCATTTTAAAAAGCACTGCAGTATAAATTTAACAAAGGAAGTGAAATCTCTGTATTGAACCCCATAAAACATTGATGAAAGATATTGAAGAAGGTGCAAATAATGGAAAGATATCCAGTGTTCATGGATCAGAAACACTAATATCAAAACAGCAACACTACTCAGATGATACACAGATTCAGTGTGACCTCTATCAAAATTCCAAAGGTGTTATTCATAGAAAGTAGAAAACAGCCCTATGATCCTTATGAAACCACAAAAGACCCCCAATAGCCTGCAAAGGAAAAGAAGCCACCATCTCCTAAATATATCTGACCACCCAGGTTCTTTGCAGCAGCGTTCACATTAGTCAAGGCATAAAAATAACCTAAATGTCCAGGATTTTACCCATGGGTAGAGAAAATATGGTATACTGTTGGACTGAAAAATCATTCAGTCTTAAAAAGGAGATCCTGTCATCTACCAAATCCAGATGAACATGGAGGGCTTTATACTAAGTGAAATAAGTCAAACAGAAAAAAAAAAAAAAATCATCTGCCCTCACTTAGGTGTGGAGTATAAAACAGGAAGGAAAGGGAGAGGAAGGCCATGAGGAGGAAATGGAAAGGGAGGGAGGGGCAGAAGGAAAGGGAGAGGGAAATGTGGGGGTGTCCAGGCAGAGAAAGCAGGAGAGACAGGGAGAGAGATCAGAGAACACAGAGTATCAGACATGAAGAAAGCACAACCCTAGAAATCCAATCACAGCATGGGGGCTAATGTAAGAAATGTAGCATATCTGAGATTCCTACTGAACAAGTGTATCTTAGCAGCTTGTCCAGGAAATACCCACAGGAAAAGCAGCAGGGTCTGTGAGATGAAGAATACCTTACTTTGCTTGACGGTGGCCTTTTCTCAGTCTGTGTGTATCCCACAAAACTATGCTGTGTATCCTAAGTGCACACAATAAAAGTTATTTTAAAGGTAAAATGTGTTTATCAGAAAGTCAATAAAAACATGTTACTACTAAAATACATGTAGTATAGTATCACATTTCCTATTGGATATGTATTCAATATAATCTATCATCTAAAGCCATTTTATATTAAATCTCAACAAGAAAATGAAGAGCACAGCTAGATGTCATGAAATATGAAGTTGCTTAAATTTGTGACAATAATGTTTTACAAGGATGTGTGTGGCCAGAGCAATGCCCTGCAGGAAGTGGAGGTGTGGCCAGTGCGGGCAGCAGCCAGGAGGCAAGGGTGGGGCTGACCCTGATGGGCAGGAGTGGAGAGCCGCTGACCAAACATGGTCCAAAAATGAAAATGAGCAGGTAGATAAGTGGGCAGCACTTAGGTTACATTAAATTTCACCGCATGGTATTGAATGATAATGGGCTGATCATCTTCCAAGGGGAATTTGAATTAAAAAATAGATCTTAAATGAGGAAAATTATTTTCACATTTGAGGTTTCTTTTTTCTTTCCTGAAAAAAAAGGCCTACTTTTATAGTTAGATTGTGCATGATCCTGTAAATGACGTCTCAACAAAATCCCCATTCCCAGATTTCTGGGCAAGACTTAGTGGCACTTTATGGAATTTTAACATATGAAATGTAAGCAGCATACTTTACATGTCAAGGAGCGTGTAACAATCTTATTTCCATGTAAGGGGCTCCTCAGTGCACGCACACTTCACAGCACGCTAACCCGTGGGGAACTGGATACTGCATGGAGTGTGCTCTTCCCTGGGCTCTTTCCACTCCGCCCTTGGCTACTTGCATGCCCTGACTTTTGGCACTCCCCATCTGGCGCACACTTGGAGGCCCATTTGAAATGCCACATTTCCTCCTATGGCTCCTGGAGTCCTCCCAGCTCCCACACAAATCTACCCCATGACCACGCTCCATGCTTTCCAAGAACGCAAAACCCCACCTGAAAGAGCAGGGTGCTGCGTGGGGCCACGATTCCTGAACTCAGTGCTAGGGTGAGCTCTATGACCGGAAGTCTTAAAGCTTATCACTTTCTCAGTATTTCTCTTACCCATCACAAACTAAAGTGGAACACGACTTCACTATTTCATGTAAGAGGTGGTGCAATGTCATCTGCCCTCTGTCACACATTTCTGATACTTTGAACATTGCTGCAGCTGCTGCACAGGAAGTCAACTAGCTGGGCAGGAGAAGTTGCACAGCCCAACCACAGCTTGCAGAACAAGACTGAGTGCCCGTGGGCAGGTGCACAGCAGCACTCCAGGGGAA